AAAAGACAGAGGCAGAGAAAGATAGAAAGAGTGAATAGGAGAGTGGGGAAACAGAAGATGAGAATGATACGCGGGTAAAATAACAAAGGAGAGAATGGCAGATGTGACAAAAAATAGAAGGGAACTAAAACAAGGATGGAAAAAGAGACAAGGGGAGAAAAAAACGGGTAAAAAGAGATTGAACAGAAAGATAGATGGGGAGAAGAACAACGACGAGAAATATAGAAGGAAAGACCACAGAAAGGAGGACGACGACAAACGAAAATTAAAAAGAAAAATGCATATAGGGAGAAAGACGGGAAAAATACAGAGAGGCAAACCAACAGAGTTGGGGAAAAATAGGGGGCAAAGACAAACAAGGAAAAAAATACAGGGGGGAAAGACAGGAGGAGAACGACAGATAGAGAGAAAAACAGTGGACGGAAAAAGACAAAGGTGGAGAAAGATAAAAAGGGAGAATAGGAGAGTGGAAAAACAGAAGAGGAGAAAGATACGCGGTTAAAATGACAAAAGAGAGAACTGCAGATGTGACAAAAAATAGAAGAGAAGGAAGACAAGGACGTAGAAAGAGACAAGGGTACAAAAAGACAGATGGGGAGAAGAACCAAGAGGAGAAATATAGAAGGACAGACAAGAGAAAGGAGGAAAAAGACACAAACGAAAATTTAAAAAAAATGAAGATAGGGAAAAAAAGAGGCAAACCATCAGAGGTGGGGAAAAAAATTGGGGGCAAAGACAAACAAGGAACAATAAAAAAGAGAAGAAGGCCAATCGGGAAGAAAAAACAAAGGGAAAAAGACAGGGGGGAAACCGCAGATAGAGAGAAAGAAGACCGGAAAAACAGAAGAGGGAAAAGACAGAGGCAGAGAAAGATAGAAAGAGTGAATAAGAGAGTGGGGAAACAGAAGATGAGAATGATACGCGGGTAAAATAACAAAGGAGAGAATGGCAGATGTGACAAAAAAAAAGAAGGGAACTAAGACAAGGATGGAAAAAGAGACAAGGGGAGAAAAAACGGGGGAAAAGAGATTGGACCGAAAGATAGATGGGGAGAAGAACAAAGAGGAGAAATATAGAAGGAAAGACCACAGAAACGAGGACAAAGACAAACGAAAATTAAAAAAAAAATGAATATAGGGAGAAAAACGGGAAAAATACAGAGAGGCAAACCAACAGAGTTGGGGAAAAATAGGGGGCAAAGACAAACAAGGAAGAAAAGACAGGAGGAGAACGGCAGATAGAGAGAAAAACAGAAGGCGGAAAAAGACAAAGGTGGAGAAAGATAAAAAGGGAGAATAGGAGAGTGGAAAAAGAGAAGAGGAGAAAAATACGCGGTTAAAATGACAAAGGAGAGAACGGCAGATGTGACAAAAAATACAAGAGGAGGAAGACAAGGACGTAGAAAGAGACAAGGGTACAAAAAAGACAGGTGGGGAGAAGAACCAAGAGGAGAAATATAGAAGGACAGACAAGAGGAAGGAGGAAAAAGAGATAAACGAAAATTAAAAAAATGAAGATAGGTAGAAAGACGGGAAAAATACAGAGAGGTAAACCAACAGAGGTGGGAAAAAATAGGGGGCAAAGACAAACAAGGAAGAACAAAAAAAAGAAGAAAGACAGTCGGGAAGAAAAGACAGAGGGAGAAGGACAGGAAGGGAATGACAGATAGAGAGAAAGAAGATCGGAAAATCAGAAGAGGGAAAAAGACAGAGACGGAGACAGATAGAAAGGGTGAATAGAAGAGTGAGAAAACAGAAGAGGAGAAAAATACGCGAGTAAAATAACAAAAGGAGAGAAAGGCAGATGTGACAAAAAAGTAGAAGGGAAGAAAGACAAGGATGGAGAAAGAGACAAAGGGACAAGACACGAAAAAAAATAGAGAGAGGCAAACCAATAAAGATAGGGAAAAATAGAGGGCAAAGACAAACAGGGAAGAACAAAACAGAGAAGAAAGACAGTCGGGAAGAAAAGACCGACGAGGACAGGATAGGAACGACAGATATAGAGAAAGAAGACCGGAAAAACAGAAGAAGGGAAAAAACAGACGCGGAGAAAGATAGAAAGGGAGAATAAGAGAGTGGGAAAACAAGCGGAGGAAGTTAGACGGGTGAAATTGCAAGGTAGAGAAAGACAAATGTGACAAAATAGAAGGGAAGGGACAAGGAGAAAGACAGAGAGAAATATAGAGACAAACGAACAGAGGTAGGGAAAGACAGGGGAGCAAAGACACAAGGAAGAACAAAAAAGACAGAAAACGAGAAAGAACCAAAAAACAGAAGGGGGAAAAACAGAGGGGGAGAGAGAACCGAAGTATGGAAAGACGTAAGGGGAGAAAGATAGACGGGCAAAACAACAAAATAGAGAAAGACAAATGCGATAAACAATAGAAGCGGAGGCGGACAAAGGCAATGGTGGAGAAAAAAACAAGGAGAGGAAGAAAACAGGAAAAAAGGACCGGAGAGAAACACAAAGTGGAGAAATACAGAAAGAGAGACAAGAGAAAGGGAGAAATACAGAGAGGCAAACCAACAGAGGTGGGAAAAGAAGGCGCCAAAACATAAAGAAGAAGAAAGAAGAGAAAGACAGACGGGAATAAAGACATAGAAAGAGAAAGACACAAACGAAACGACAGATAGAAAACGAAGATCGGAATGTCGAAGGGGGAAAAACGCAGAGGCGGAGAAAGACAAAAAGGGAGAATAGGAAAGCGGGCAAAACAGAAAAGGAGAAAAATAGAGAAGTAAAATATAAAAAGAGAAAAAGGCAGATGTGACAAAAAATAGAAGGGGACAAAGACAAGGGTGGAGAAAGAGACAAAGGGACAAAGAAAGCAGGAAAAAGGGACTGGAGAGAAAAACAAAGAGGAGAAATACAGTAGGAGAGACAAGACAAAGGGGGAAAAGACACAAACGGAAGACAAATCAAAATTAAAATAGACAAGAACAAAGACGACGATAAATACTGAGAGGAACAGTAGAGATGGGGAAAGAGAGGGGGACAAAGATACACGAGGAAGAATAAAAAAGAGGAAAAAGACAACCGGGAAGAAAAGACACGGAGGAAGAAAACACCAGATAAACCACAGATAGAGAGAAAGAAAACTGTAAAGAGAGAAAGGGAGAATTATACGGATAGGGACAGAGCTTCAAAAAGGTAATCGGGATATAACTAAATTGAAGAAATTTTCGAAAAGGCCACAAATATAAACAAATTGACTGAGAAATAGACATGTCGAAAATGAGAGAATAAACAGCAGAAAAGTATAGTGTGATAAGAAAACAAAAATTCATTCTTGGAACATAAATATGTTTTTTCTTGTGAAAATCTGGATACCTAGGGGAAAAACTGAAGCGGATTCATAAACTACAAGTACACAATGATGTTATTTTATAAAATTTAAATGTCTTTATTACGAAAAATTTGAGGTGACGTTAGTACTATTAGACACAATATTTGTAACAACCACCGATCTAGTAGCTTCTGAGATTATCTGTCTAATAAAAACCGACACTGACAGACGACAAACAGAAAATACAGTACTTAAAAATTTACTTCTATCTGGTAACACAAAATTGGTATTATTTTTTTGTATTTTTGAAAATTGCGTACACAGCCACAGATGAAAAAACAAAATTAATTTGGCGAACAATGCAACTGCAAAAAAGTTTGGCCAAGTCCCTGAACTTAATAATATAACATTTTTTTGCCAGAAATGCCACTTGCTGAAACTATCTAGTTGTCAAAACAATAAAAAAAATACTTCCACAAACTTCTTTCTTTGGTTTGAAAAAAAAAGTATCACGGTAAGTCATTACAAAACTTAAAATATCAAAAACATGTTGACAACTTCGACAGGACAATTTTTGACTTGTAATTCTTGTTGGCGGTTTTGGTGTCTCGATTTTGTTTATCTTGCCAAGCAACCGTACTTAATGCATTAAAGGTGACTTAAGCCGGTGATAAAATGTTCAATGCGAAACTAATTTCTTGCACTTAAGTGACAACTCAATGAAACGGTAGAACATATCTCGCAACGTAATCTGTTATTTTTACGCCTGTATATCTCCCAAATGTTTACTAAAACAACAGATTCGAAAAAGCAATGTAGGTGTATCTCAAACATGTTAGCACTTAATTATTGATCCAACGAACTGGTATTTATTGGATTATTTGTTTTGTTTTCGGGCAATTTATTTGTTCAAGAAAACACGTATCACAATGTGTCAATACCGGTTTGAATGAACTCACGTCATCGGGATTTTAACCGCAGTTTCGCATTTTCACGCGAAACGAGAAAGTAGGCGTCGACGTGTCAAAATCACCTGCTTTACGACCAAGCGCGGGAAAACAACACAATTGCCAACATTCGCGAGTAAACAAGAATGACGCGAATTGGGAGTAGAATATGACCTTAAGTAGTGTACAATTTCAATGATCGAGCACAATTACTGTCATGCTAGGTTTCGTGTTTTTGTGGAGGAAATGGTGAATTTTTTAAATCCTTGACTGGGGAATATCCTTCACGAGTAATAAATCTGAGGGAGACGGAAAAGTACTAGGGATATTTTTACCCACTTGTTTAAAACCGCAGGTATTTTTAATTAAGTGCACGGTATTAAGGTTAATACTGACGACTTTGTAGTAGTCTTACGTAACGAGCACAAATAATAAAAAAAAAATACACAGAAAAAATCACTGTGGAATTAAATGTGGCTGTATGGTCGTAAAACGAGGAAAAATCGATTCACGTGGTCGCTCGGTTTTCCCCAAAATCAGCATTCGAACGGTCCCCAACTTTTGGGGTCACAAAGTACAGTCACAAGACTGGATTCCGTCCAACTGTTTACCGTACTCCAAGCGGGTGATTTAAACCCGCCATAAAACCATTAAAACAACGAGCACTTTAAGGCGGCTTCGGCTGTTGGAGTGCCGAATTTGGAGGCGTCGATATCTTCGTTGTGATAACATAAAACGGCCAAATTAGGTCGTGACACACATACCTGACCCTCCGCCAGTTTCGATGCCGTGAATCGGAAAAGCGCCATTTTCAACAATTTTCACTTTTTTTCGTCGACGATGAGTTAACTTTACACAAAACAGAACGTGCTTATGTCACCGGCAGCGGCGTCGGCTCAGTGATCATCGAAAAATGCACGATTGAATGTGTGCTGGGGGGCATGCGCAGTGGCGTGCCAAGGACGAGGGATTTTCGTCTACGGGGACCTTTCGCAAAGTTCAAGCGCGAGTGGAGGGGGGATGGGAAATGGCGACACGTGAGACGTGAGATCCTGCGTGTCCAGGTTCCAGGAGTTATGCAATGGAGATTCATGGGAACTAAAGGAGAAAAGAAGACACGTGAATAGGCAAAGGTCGGCGGTCTGTCAATGAAGAAATCGGTGTCAAGTTTTCGTTCATTTTTTTTTGTTTGTTTGTTTGTTTGATGAGGTTGGCTGATTTAGACCTTTGACTTCAAAATTTCGACTTATCAACAACATGAATCAGTGGAAAACTGATAAGTTAAGCGTGTTTTTACATAAAATGGGGGATTGTATGAATAAGTTAAATATAATACATAAAAATGCAAACAAATGCTTCTAGAATGCACGCCAACGTCATTCGAAATCAAAATAGCCACGAAATTGTGTTAGTAAATAAGTCACAATTTGCATATAAGTTTCGTTCACTTAGGTATCTGTTTGTATGTAAAACGATGGACAAAAAGGGGAAATAACACTTGAATTATTTATTTATTTAGTTAATTATTAACTGACCGAAAATAAATGAAACGTCAGTTGTCATGTTGTCAATGTCGGAATCGGTAGGCAACCCGTAATACACGTTTTCTTTTTTATTTTGGGAATGAAGTTGTTTTTTTTAATACCATACAATTTTTTGACAGAGACCTGTTATTTTTCAAGGTAAATTATCAAAAGTGTAAATGAATGACAAGAGACTATTAAAGTGTCAATTATACGCAATAGAGGGCACCACAGTGTCCACAGTCCCAATGTACTGATAATACTTTTAAAAAGACTGGATTATAGAGAGTATGTGTAATTAATTAGACTTTCACCATGATAATTAGCCACGAGGCATTCATTAACTACCGATTATCATTATCAAAATGCATTAATCACCAGTTTATCATTATTAATAACGTATTTTCCGTAAGTCCACCTAATGAATACGAAATTCCTCCTTATGTATATGGTGCATAGTGAATTCATCCAACTTTTTGTGGCACAAAATATAATTTCCATATCTTCATGGGTAACAATGAATGTCACAGTGCTAATCACCATGATGGAAGTGAAAGTATAATTAGATATGACCTTCATCACTGCCAACAATTTTTTGTTTTCCAAACAAATATTTTTATTTTTGACAATTTTCAAAAGTTAACTAAAGACATTTTTTTATAGATTTCGAACTCTGGAAGTTAGTTTCGGCCTCATTTTTTCGTTAGTTCTTTTTCAGCAGGTTCTGCAATTCTATATTCCACAATTTTTTGGAATCTTTTCAAAAGCAAGATTTGCTGTGAAAATTTCGGCCAATTTTTGAAACTTCAAGTTTTTGGATTAAAAGAAATTCAAAACGAATATTTTTAAATTTTGCACTAGGAGCATAAATACATTGTTTTTGGAAACAGCAGGAAGAAATCTGTATCCCAGATTTTTGGGAATTTTTTCAAAAGTAAAATTTTTCGATTTTTACCCTTCCTATGAAAGAAAATTTCGAGTAATTTTTGACAATTTTCGAAACTTTAACCAGAGACATCTTCTTATAGATTTCGACTTCAAGATATTATATAGTTATATCCCAGATCTTTTTGGGAATTTTTTCAAAAATAAAATTTTTCGATTTTTTCCCGTCCTATGAAAATTTCGCCTAAATTTCGACAATTTTCGAAACTTAACCAAAGTCATTTTCTTATAAATTTCGACCTTCAAAAGTTAGTTTTTGTCATATTTCTTGATAGCGCCTAATATTTTTTTAAATTCACCCGAAGTATTGTAATTTTTGGGATTAAAAAAAAAATTCTAATCGAATATTTTTAAATTTTGCACTGGGAGCATAAATATGTTTTCGGAATCAGCATGAAGAAATCTATATCTCAGATTTTTTTGGGAATTTCTTCAAAAGTAAAATTTTTTGATTTTTTCTCATCCTATGAAAATTTCGGCTAATTTTCGACAATTTTTGAAACTTAACCAAAGACATTTTCTTATAGATTTTGACTTCCAGATATTATGTAGTTATATCTCAGATCTTTTTGGGAATTTTTTCCAAGTAAAATTTTTCGATTTTTTCCCTTCTTTGAAAATTTTGGCTAATTTTCGACAATTTTCGAAACTTTAACCAAAGACATTTTCTTATAGATTTCGACTTCAATATATTATGTAGTTATATCCCAGGTTTTTTTGAGAATTTTTTCAAAAGTAAAATTTTTCGATTTTTTCCCTTCCTATGAAAATTACGGCCAAATTTCGACAATTTTCAAAACTTAACTAAAGTCATTTTCTTATAGATTTCGACCTCCAAAAGTCAGTTTTTGTCATATTTCTCGATAGCTCGTAATATTTTTTCAAATTCACCCGAAGTATTGTAATTTTTGGGATTAAAAAAAATTTCAAATCGAATATTTTTATAGTTTGCACTGGGAGCATAAATATGTTTTTGGAATCAGCATGACGAAATCTATATCTCAGATTTTTTTGAGAATTTCTTCAAAAGTAAAATTTTTCGATTTTTTCTCATCAAATCAAAATTTCGGTTAATTTTCGACAATTTTTGAAACTTAACCAAAGACATTTTCTTATAGATTTTGACCTCCAGATATTATGTAATTATATCCCAGATCTTTTTTTGGGAATTTTTTCAAATGAAAAATTTTTCGATTTTTTCCCTTCCGATGAAATTTTCGGCTAAATTTCGACAATTTTCGAAACTTAACAAAAGTCATTTTCTTATAGATTTCGACCCCCAAAAGTCAGTTTTTGTCATATTTCTCGCCTAACATTTTTTTAAATTCACCCGAAGTATTTTAAATTTTGGGATTAAAAAAAAATTCTAATCGAATATTTTAAAATTTTGCACTGGGAGCATAAATATGTTTTTGGAATCAGCATGAAGAAATCTATATCTCAGATTTTTTTGGGAATTTCTTCAAAAGTAAAATTTTTCCATTTTTTCTCATCCTATGAAAATTTCGGCTAATTTTCGATAATTTTTAAAACGTAACCAAAAACATTTTCTTATAGATTTCGACCTGCAGATGTTATGTGGGTATATCCCAGCTCTTTTTGGGAATTTTTTCAAATGACAAATTTTTCGATTTTTTTCCTTTCTTGAAAATTTCGGCTAATTTTCGACAATTTTCGAAACTTAACCAAAGTCATTTTCTTATAGATTTCGACCTCCAGATGTTGTGTGGTTATATCCCAGCTCTTTTTGGAAATTTTTCAAAAGAAAAATTTTTCGATTTTTTCTCTTCCTATGAAAATTTCGGCTAATTTTCGACAATTTTCGAAACTTAACCAAAGACGTTTCCTTATAAATTTCGACCTCCAGATGTTATGTATCTCGGATTTTTTTGTGAATTTTTTCAAAAAGCAAATTTTTCGATATTTTTCCTTCCTATAAAAATTTCAAGTAATTTTCGACAATTTTCGAAACTTAACGCAAGACATTTTCTTATAGATTTCGACCTCCGGATGTTATGTAGACATATATCCTAGAATTTTTTGGGAATTTTTTCAAAACGAAAATTTTTCAATATTTTCCTTCCTATGAAAATTTCGGCTAATTTTCGACAATTTTTGAAACTTAACAAAAGACCTTTTCTTATACATTTCAACCTCCAGATGTTATGTGGTTATATTCCAGCTCTTTTTGAGAATTTTTTCAAAGGACAAATTTTTCGATTTTTTCTCTTCCTATGAAAATTTCGGCTAATTTTCGACAATTTTCGAAACTTAACCAAAGCCGTTTTCTTATAAATTTCGACCTCCAGATGTTATGTATTTCAGATTTTTGTGTGAATTTTTTCAAAAAGAAAATTTTTCGATATTTTTCCTTGCTATAAAAATTTTAGCTAATTTTCGACAATTTTCAAAACTTAACGAAAGACATTTTCTTATAGATTTCGACCTCCGGATGTTATGTACACATATATCCTAGAAATTTTTGGAAATTTTTTCAAAACGAAAATTTTTCAATATTTTCCTTCCTATGAAAATTTCGGCTAATTTTCGACAATTTTCGAAACTTAACCAAATACCTTTTCTTATACCATTTGAAACATGTTTCAAGTTTTTGATTATGAAAAAAAAGATTAAATAAAATAAAAACCGGCAAAATATAAGCCCCGCCCACTCACCCTATCTCAATTGTAATGAATGAGGTTTTTATTGGTCGTAAGCCTGAGGACGGAACTTAATTGCAACATGTATATTTCTCTATAAAAATTTACCATTTTAAACATGTTTTTTGTTTGTGGTAATGAAAAGAAGACTAAATATATTAAAAATAGGCAAAATATAAACCCCACCCACCCGCCCTATTGTAATTGTGATGATTTTTTTTATTCTTCGTAATCTTGGGGACGGAGCTTAATTGCAAAATTCATATTTCTCTATAGAAATTTACCATTTTGAACATGTTTCAACTTTTTGATTATGAAAAAAAGACTAAATTAAATAAAAAACAGCAAAATATATTTAGATTTCAATCTCCAGATGTTATATGGTTATATCCGAGCTCTTTTTGCGAATTTTTTCAAAAGAAAAATTTTTCGATTTTTTCTCTCCCTATAAGTTTCGACTAATTTTCGAAAATTTTTGAAACTTAACCAAAGACATTTTCTTATAGATTTAGACCTCCAGATGTTATATAGGTATATCCTATTTTTTTTGGGAAATTTTTTCAAAAAAAAAAGTTTTCAGTTTGAAACTGAATTTTTTTGTTCCGTTTTTTGTCGGTTTTTTCCGCATTTTTGTCTCTGTTTTTGTTACCTTTTTCGTGGTACTTTTTTTCTTGCATTTTTTAAAATATTTTTTGTTTTGTTTTTAGAAACTTTTGTCGCCTTTTCTTCTCGCTTTTTTTGCCTTTGTTTTTGTCATCTTTTTCTTGGTTGCTTTTTTCTTGCATTTTTCATTCTTTCTAACAACTTTCGTTCCCTTTTTTGTCGATTTTTTTTATCTCTTTTTTGTAAAACCTTTTTTGGTCTCTTTTTTATCGTTTTTCTGCTGCGTTTTTTGCCATTCTTTTGTAGTCTTTTTTATCGAATTTCTTGTAACCTTTTTTTGGCGCCTTTTTTTTACTTAATTTTTTTAGTCGCAATTTTTTTGTTGTTTTTTTAATCGCCGTCTTTTGCAATCTTTTCTTCCACTTTTTAAAATTTTATATAACTTTCGTCGCCTTTTCTTATTGGCTTTTTTTGCCGTTCTTTTCGCTTTTTTATTTCATATTTTTCCATTTTTTTGTTATTATTCTAACGGTTTTTTGTTGCCCTTTTTTTTACGTCATTTTTTGTAACCCCCCTTTTTGTTGCCTTTTTGGCCAGCTTATTCTGCTTTTTTTTAGTGAAATTTTTTGGCCATTTTTTGTCGCTTTCATGTAATTCTTTTTTTGATTCCTCCTTTTTTTTGTCGTCCAATTGATCGTTTTTATTATTGCCTTTTTATTTGACACTTTTTTGTCGCCTTTTTTTATCAGTTTTTTGTCTTGTTTTTTGACACTTTTCTTCGCCTTTTTTTGTCAAATTTCTGGTGACCCTTTTTTGTTAGTTTTTATAGCATTTTTTTGTCGCCGTTGTTATTATAATTTTCTTAATCTTTTTCTTATTTTTATTGTGGCTTTTGTTTTTTATAAAGTTTCGTGGACTTTTCTTATTGGCTTTTTGTCGTTTTTCTTTTCGCTTATTTGGTCATTTTTGTGAGCCCTTTTTGTCGCTCTTTTTTTGATTCCTTCTTTTATTTGTCGTCCAATTTGTCGTTTTTATTTTTTTTTTTGACACTTTTTTGTCGCATTTTTTATCACCTTGCTGCCTTATTTTTTGACACTTTTTTTTCGTGCTTTTTGTCAAATTTCTGGTGACCCTTTTTTGTTGTTTTTATAGCATTTTTTGCCGTTGTTTTTTCTACCCCCCCCCCCTTTTCTTGTATCATTTTTAGTCGCATTTTTTATTAACCGTTTTTTGTTTTTTTTTGGGCCAGCTTATTCTGCTTTTTTTGTGAATTTTTTTGTCGCTTTTATCCAGTTTGTTTTTCTGATTTCTTCTTTTTTTGTCAGCCAATTTGTCGTTTTTATTATTGCCACTTTTTTTGTCAAATTTCTGGTGACTCTTTTTGTTGTTTTTTGTAGCGTTTTTTTTTTGTTATAATTTTCTTAATTGCTTTTTTTTCTCAGGTTTTTGTGGCGTTTTTGTTTTTATTTGCCCTTTTTTTTGGTCGCTTTTCTTTTCGCTTTTTTGGTCACATTTTTCCGCTTTTTTTGTCTGACGTTTTTTTGTGCATTTTTTTTCTGACCCCTTTTTTACGTCATTTTTTGGCACATTTTTTGTGGCCTCTTTTTTGGGCCAGATTATTCTGCTTTTTTGTGGTTTTATGTAAGTCTTTTTTTAATTTCTTTTTTTTGCCGGCAAATTTGTCGTTTTTATTATTGGCCTTTTATTTGACACTTTTTTTGTCGTCTTTTTCGTCGAATTTCTTGTTGTTTTTTTATAGAATTTATGGTCACTGTTTTTATTATAATTTTGTTGTCAAGTTTCGTGGCCTTGTCGCATTATGTCACCATGATAACTCATTTTCATTAATTACTCATTATCATTATAAAAATTGGATTAATTATCAACTTAATTATCATTCAATTATCAGTTAGATCATTAATTACTTATTTTTTCCGTAAGACGAACAAAGACAAACTATTTAATATCACTCAAAAATAGAAACCTGCCAGAGAAATTAATACGAAATTCGTCTTTATGTATATGTTGCATAGTGAGTTTATCAAAATTTTTGTGACACAAAATATAATTTCAATATTGATCATGACGGTAATAAAGTAACAGTGAGAATGAAAGTGTAATTCTAACCTTCACCACTGCCAACAAATTTTTGTTTAAATATAATTATTTTAAAAACAAATTGAATAGTTTTATTTTCGTCAGTTTTCGAAACTTAACTAAAAACATTTTCTTCTAGATTTCGACCTACAGAAGTTGGTTTGGTCTATGGCTCGTACCATTTTCCAGAATCAACCACTGAAATATTGCAATTTTTGGCATGTAAAAAAATTTGGAGCATAAATGCTCTTAAATTTTTGGAATCAGCTCTATGAATCATCGAAATAATGATCTGATTTCAGTCAAAGAAAGACAATTTTTGTCCAAAATGGTCACTTAATTTGCTATTAAAATAAAAAAAAGTTGCATGAAGAACCCATTTGTGAAAAAAAGAAAATATATACAAGCAATTTTATTGTTTACCTTATCACTCCTACATAATGCAGTAGGCTATGCTCACAATTTCAGAATAATTAGGAAACTATAATACGTTTAATTGCTGTGACGAATCATAAATATCCAATAGCATTCCCACCAACGAAAGTACCAATAACAGCGATAACGATAAACCCAGCAAACCGTACTGCATTCAACAACTGTACTCAAATTCCGTGCCAATTTCTCTCTCACAACTGTACAAAAAAAGGAGAAATGCAGCCATTTCACTGAAAGTATGCCTGACCTTCCATCCAAGCACCCAACCAACAAAATTCTTCACCCACTAACTTAAAACAAATTCGCATTTCCGGCTTCGCTCTCCTTTAAAGCACATAATTGCATCAAACCAAATTCACTACACATGTAATAATGCGAGCTATCCCGTTACGCCACTGCTTTCCGCCCGACTTTGACAGAAGTGCCTCTCTCCGTCTCTCTCCCACCCGCACCTCCAAACAGAGACCGCCGATCAGCGTCGGTTCGTTATCGATCCCGATCGGATTTAACACTCTCACCAGCTGATGGTGAGTCAGTCGATCGCCATTTAAATTTGGATCACTGACCCTGCGGTAATTTATTGCAACTAGTGGCAAAAGTAAGTGTTTGCGCCCAATCGTCCGGAAATAACCCCTTTCGCACACGCAACCCTTCAAAATGTCTGTCTGTCGTAGATGCGCGGCCCCCAGTCCTGTGATACCTTCGTCGTGTTGCCACCCCTGACGCAGCACGGGGTGGTGTTCGGCAAGAACTCGGACCGGCCCCAGGGGGAGGTGCAGGAGGTGGTGTACGTGCCAGCTTCGGAGTGCTCGGAGCCAGTCAAAGTATGGGTTTGTTGAGGGTGGCGTTGTACTGATGATGGGTTTTAGTGTACTTACATCGAAGTGGAGGCGGCGGGGGGCACCAAGGCGGTGATTCTGAGCAAGCCGGGCTGGATGTGGGGCGCCGAAATGGGGGCCAACGAGTGCGGGGTGGTTATAGGGAATGAGGCGGTTTGGACGACTGACAACGAGGGGGAGCACGATCCTTCGGTGAAGAGGCTGCTGGGGATGGATTTAGTTAGGTGAGTTGACAGTCCGGAGGGTTTTAGCCATCTGGTAAGGTGCATTTTGGATTTTGTGTTACCTAATTTAGTTAGATTATGTCAAATTATAACCTAACTTTTACTCAGAAATATGTGGTGATTTTGTGTTAACTAGGGTGGGTGCTTTAGTGATTTTTTTATTATAATGTGCATTTTTTGTGCAAGGTTAAAAGTGCACAGTCAAATTTTCGCAAATGTCACAATTGACCTTGACATTTTGGATCCGGTGAAAGTTATTCAGAAAATCGAATTAATTAAAAATATATATTTGTAATTATTTGAACTGGTTAACACCTAGTAGATGAATTTAATATTAAATTTTGAACCATGTTTTGAACCAGAACTTCATGTGCCATTACGAGGTGAATTTGGACATTTTATTGGCTGAATTTGGTCACGTGATGCGTAATTACACCAATGGCGTGGTTAATGGACCAATCATGTGGCTAATTCGGCCAATCAAGTTTTCGGGTTCACGGCTTAAGTCTTAAGTGGGGTTAAAAATTTAATTCGTCGAATTTAAAATCCATCAGTGCGACTCTTATCGGAAGTTCTTTCCTTGTTTCGACATGGAATTTTAATCAACGATTTGTGTTTATTTTATAACTAAAAATAAAATAATCTTGACACCACTATCTTAAAATGATAAATGATAGCGGTTTTAATTTATCTTACTATAAATTAAATTAAAGTTTCTGGCTTTTATAACCTCTCATAACAGAAACAAATTTAAAAAGTGGATTATTGGAGGTGGTAAATTGCGGACTTTAAAAATGTCTTCAAAATATAAAAACAAAGTATGTATCAACAATTTTTTTATCACATTTTTCCGTTTTTTGTCGCTTTTCTGACATCTTTTTTGTCAGATTTCTTCTAGTCCTTTTTTTCGCTCCATTTTATTTTTTGTTGTATTTTTGCTACCTTTTTTCTCGGTTTTTTTTATGGCAATTTTTGCATTCTTTTGCGTATTTTTCGCCTTTTTTGTCGCTTTTCTGAGGTGTTTTTTGTAAAATTTCTTTTAATCTTTTTTTCGCTTCGCTTTATTGCCGATTTTGCATTTTGTTGTCTTTTTCTTGCTTTTTTGGGTTTTTTCATTTTTTTTATCTTTTTTTTTAACAACTTTGGCCGCCTTTTCTTGTTGCCCTTTTTGTCGCTTTTTGTTTTGGTCACTTTTTCCGCTTTTCTGACACGTCTTTTTTGGGCGATTTTTTGTCTCTTTTGATTCCCCTCTATTGTCGATCTTTTTGTCTTTTTTAGCCATTTTTTATCGCTCTTTTTGTTCCCCCGTTTTTATAGTCTAATTTGTTGTTTTTATTGTTGCCCTTGTAATATCTCTTATGTACTATACACCAATCAAGTTCAATTTCAATCTTTTTTTCCTCAGTTTTGGTCTCATTTCTTCGACAGCTCCTAACATTTTTTCAAATTCACCAGAAGTATTGCAATTTTTGGGATTAAAAAAAATTCAAATTGCGTATTTTTAAATTTTGCACTGGGAGCATAAATACACTATATTTTTGGAATCAGCACGTAGAAATCTATGTTTCAGATTTTTTTGGAATTTTTTCAAAAGTAGAATTTTTCAATTTTTTTCCCTTTCCATGAAAATTTTGACTAATTTTCGACAATTTTTGAAACTTTAACGAAAGACATTTTCTTATAAATTTCGACCTGGAGATGTTATGTGGTTATATCCCAGCTCTTTTTGGGAATTTTTTCAAAAGTAAAATTTTTCGATTTTTTTCCTTCCTTGAAAATTTCGGTTAATTTTCGACAATTTTCGAAACTTGACCAAAGACATTTTCTTATAGATTTCGACCCCCAAAAGTCAGTTTTGGGCTCATTTCTTCGACAGCTCCTAATATTTTTTTAAATTAATACCAAGTATTGATATTTTTGGGATTAAAAAAAATTCAAACCGAATATTTTAAATTTTGCACTGGGAGCATAAGTACACTATGTTTTTGGAATCAGCAGGAAGAAATCAATATCCCAGATTTTTTGGGGAATTTTTTCAAAAGGAAAATTTTCATTTTTTTCCTTCCTATGAAAATTTCCGGTAATTTTCGACAATTTTCAAAACTTAACAAAAGTTGTTTCCTTATAGATTTCGACCCCCAAATGTTATGTAATTATATCCTAGATATTTTTGGTACATTTTTTCAAAAGTAAAATTTTTCAATTTTTCCTTACCAATGAAAATTTCTAATTTTTGTCAATTTTTGAAACTTAACTAAAGACATACATTTTCTTATAGATTTCTACCCCCAGATGTTATGTAGTATATCTCAGATCTTTTTGGGAATTTTTTCATACGGAAAATTTTTCGATTTTTTCCCTTCCTATGAAAATTTCGGCTAATTTTCGACAATTTTCGAAACTTAACCAAAGACATTTTCTTATAGATTTCGACCTCCAAAAGTCAGTTTTTTGGTCTCATTTCTTCGACTACTCCTAACATTTTTTCAAATTCATACCAAGTATTGAAATTTTTGGGATTAAAAAAAAATTCAAACTGAATATTTTTAAATTTTGCACTGGAAGCATAAGTACACTATGTCTTTGGAATCAGCAGGAAGAAATCAATATCCCAGATTTTTTTAGGAATTTTTTCAAGAGTAAAATTTTTAGATTTTTTCTCTTCCTATGAAAATTTCGACTAATTTTCGAAAATTTTTGAAACTTAACGAAAGACCTTTTCTTATAGATTTCGACCTCCAGATGTTATGTAGTTATATCCTAGATGTTATGTAATTATTTATATCCCAGATCTTTTTGGGAATTTTTTCAAAAGGAAAATTTTTCAATATTTTCCTTCCTATGAAAATTTCGGCAAATTTTGGAAAATTTTCGAAACAAAATTTTTGTGTTTTTTTTTTGTTCCATTTTTTTTGTCGTTTTTTCCGCATTTTTTGTCTTTGTTTTTGCCGCCTTTTTCGTGGCTACTTTTTTCTTGCATTTTTTTAAATATTTGTTGTTGTGTTTTTTTAAACTTTCGTCGCCTTTTCTTATTGCTTTTTTGCGTTTGTTTTTGTCATCAATTCCTTGGTTGCTTTTTTTTCTTGCATTTTTTATGCTTTTTAACAAATTTCGTTGCTTTTTTATCGATTTTTTTATCTCCTTTTGTAAAACCTTCTTGGACTCTTTTTTTTTTTGTTTTTCTTCTGTGTTTTTGCCGTTATTTTGTGAGTGGATTATTGGAGGTGGTAAATTGCGGACTTTCAAAATGTCTTCCAAGTATAAAAACAAAGTATTAACAATTTTTTTAATCACATTTTTCCATTTTTTTGTCGCTTTTCTGACGTCTTTTTTGTCAGATTTCTTCTAGTCCTTTTTTTCGCTCCATTTTATTTTTTGTTGTATTTTTGCTACCTTTTTTCTCGTTTTTTTTTTCTGGCAATTTTTGCATTCTTGGTCGTTTTTCTTGCCTTTTTTTGCGTGTTTTTCGCCTTTTTTGTCGCTTTTCTGATGTGTTTTTTGTAAAATTTCTTTTAATCCTTTTTTCGGTTCGCTTTATTGCCGATTTTGCATTTTGTTGTCTTTTTCTTGCTTTTTTGGGTTTTTTCATTTTTTAAATCTTTTTTTTTTAACAACTTTGGCCGCCTTTTCTTGTTGCCCTTTTTGTCGCTTTTTGTTTTGGTCACTTTTTGTTATGGTCACTTTTTCCGCTTTTCTGACGCGTCTTTTTAGGGCGATTTTTTGTCGCTTTTTGTCTCTTTTGACTCCCCTCTATTGTCGATCTTTTTGTTTTTTTAGCCATTTTTTATCGCTCTTTTTGTTCCCCCGTTTTTATAGTCTAATTCGTTGTTTTTATTGTTGCCCTTTTTGTCGGTTTGTTGTCTCCTTTTGTAATATCTCTTATGTACTATACACCAATAAAGTTCAATTTCAATCTTTTTTTCCTCAGTTTTGGTCTCATTTCTTCGACAGCTCCTAACATTTTTTCAAATTCACCAGAAGTATTGCAATTTTTGGGATTAAAAAAAATTCAAATTGCGTATTTTTAAATTTTGCACTGGGAGCATAAATACACTATGTTTTTGGAATCAGCACGTAGAAATCTATGTCTCAGATTTTTTTGGGAATTTTTTCAAAAGTAAAATTTTGCGATTTTTTTCCTTCCTTGAAAATTTCGGTTAATTTTCGACAATTTTCGAAACTTAACCAAAGACATTTTCTTATAGATTTCGACCTTCAAAAGTCAGTTTTGAGCTCATTTCTTCGACAGCTCCTAACATTTTTTAAATTCATACCAAATATTGATATTTTTGGGATTAAAAAAAATCAAACTGAATATTTTAAACTTTGCACTGGGAGCATAAGTACACAATGTTTTTGGAATCAGCAGGAAGAAATCAATATCCCAGATTTTTTGGGGAATTTTTTCAAAAGGATAATTTTTCATTTTTTTCCTTCCTATGAAAATTTCGGGTAATTTTCGACAATTTTCCAAACTTAAAAAAGTCGTTTTCTTACAGATTTCGACCCCCAAATGTTATGTAATTATATCCTAGATATTTTTGGCACTTTTTTTCAAAAATAAAATTTTTCAATTTTTCCTTTCCAATGAAAATTTCTAATTTTTGTCAATTTTTAAAACTTAACCAAAGACATACATTTTCGTATAGATTTCTACCCCTACTATGTTATGTAGTATATCCCAGATCTTTTTGGGAATTTTTTCATAAGGAAAATTTTTCGATTTTTTTCCCTTCCATGAAAATTTCGGCTAATTTTCGACAATTTTCGAAACTTAACCAAAGACATTTTCTTATAGATTTCGACCTCCAAAAGTCAGTTTTTTGGTCTCATTTCTTCGACAACTCCTAACATTTTTTCAAATTCATACCAAGTATTGAAAATTTTTTGATTAAAAAAAATTCAAACCGAATATTTTTAAATTTTGCACTGGGAGCATAAGTACACTATGTTTTTGGAATCAGCAGGAAGAAATCAATATCCCAGATTTTTTGGGGAAT